TACATAGTAAATATCCTTTACTTATTAATATTTGAAAAAAGTAACAACACTAGTATACATTTTATTGATTAGATAGCAAATGAAAGATAATGAAGAAAATTGCATTTGCAGTTTATAGATATGAATATTATTTAAATACCAGGTTAATAAAACACTATCAATCAAATATGAATAACTTAAAAACAAAAAGTAAGTTTGAAACAGAAAATTTCATATTCATAAATTCCAGTCAGTATTTTAGTAATAGTTCGGTAAACAGTTTTAAAATTAGAGTCCTAGAACAAACCAAATATTTAGGCATATCATAGGTAGTTTGGAATTACATATTACAATAGATTAGTAGTTTTCTCAAAGATTCTGTGTTAATACCTATAAACAAAGTTTTTGTTTAATTTATTAAGTTATTTACAAATTCGACTATGGAATCGTAAATTTTGCATATCAAAACATTTAAGTAAACAAATATATACTTAAAAACTAGAAACAATCTAGGACTGGCCGTTTGATTAATTAAAATATTAAATTAATCAAAAATATTTCTAAAAACAGCTGCTTTCTCAACTTTTATTTTCTAAACAATTATTTCGTATAACAGATGTTTTTAGGTAACAAGGGTGGGTGTTGCGACAGTTGTCGTCATCATCGTCATAAAATCTTCAATAGACCTTAATTGTTTTTAATAGTTTAAAGTTATTCTTATTAATAAAGAAAAAGAAGAAGGTTAAATGAATTACACTATGGTCGTAAATAAAAGTAAGAAAAGCAGCAGAAACAAACACCATATGGTGGTTTGTTGGTTGGTATGATGACGATGGTGATCTCACTCGACCTTATTAACTACCTCCACAAAACATTCGTTTGTTTGTTAATTGCTTGCGCTTGAATGATTGTGTCATAGCGCGCTTGGCTTTGGAGGTAGAGTAATAAATAGTGTGTGGTAGTAGTGGAAGCGTAGATTTATCAGCGACTTATATGTAGAATATGACATGACAGATGGTTTATAAAAGTAAATAAATAGCGTGTTATTTAGCAATTTAATAGAAAAAGAAACAAACAAAACACTTAAACAGATATACACCCACCCACCTATCTCCATATCCAAGTAGGTTGAGTAGTAGAAACCTTGTTTAAATTTCTTAAGCAGGTTTATTTATGTACATTTGTATGTGTGGGCATATTTAAGACAACATTCGAGAGTAATTGTAGTATATCGCGTCGTCTGACAACCTACATAAACATAAATTGATTGGCCGGCTAAAAGCTGCAAGTTGCTTGCTAGTCAGTCAGCCAACTAAACAACAGCCAAATATGGCACTCTTTAACTTAAAACAAGAAATAAAGTGATGTCAGCAGCAATTAACTGGAAAATGCTTGTGTCAAGTACTAAATTTGTCGTTCATAACATTTGAAGCTATAATAAGAACAAATTGGAAGAGTTTTTTGTGTATGCAATTAACAGACAGCACCACACATAGTACATATTCTATTTGTTTGCAGAAATAAACAAGTATAGTAGTATTCATGTTGTTCATGGAGATTTTGGAAAGTGTATGAAAAAATCAATAGGAGGTGTAGTAAGTTTATAAAAAGGAAAAAGTAGTAGGATGTTGTGAAATATAAAAATGAGTCATAGTTAGGTGTGAGTGAGTTGTTGGACGGTTGCCAAGAAACTGTTCGTGTACTTGCTGTTCAACCCTTAAAAACAAGGACACAGACAACACAAAAAACTGACTCATCATAATTTCCTTTTTTAACAGAACAGAACGGTGCAATAAGTCTGCACAGCTGCATTTCCAAAATATATCTAGAACATTTAGGCGAATACCCTCATGAAACTAATAAATGCATTATGCATACATACACAATCAAACGAAAAATCAATATAACTCATACACTTTCCTCTTTTTTTTCATTTTAGTTCTGGGAAATTATCTCTGATGAACATGGTATCGATGCTACCGGCGCCTATCATGGCGACAGCGATTTACAATTGGAACGCATTAATGTGTATTACAATGAGGCATCTGGTGGCAAATATGTACCTCGTGCCGTTTTGGTCGATTTAGAACCCGGTACCATGGATTCAGTGCGTTCCGGTCCTTTCGGTCAAATCTTCCGCCCAGACAACTTTGTTTTCGGACAATCTGGTGCCGGTAACAACTGGGCCAAGGGTCATTACACAGAAGGCGCAGAGTTGGTCGACTCTGTGTTGGATGTTGTACGCAAAGAAGCCGAATCCTGCGATTGCCTACAAGGTTTCCAATTGACTCACTCGTTGGGCGGTGGTACCGGCTCCGGTATGGGTACTTTGCTCATCTCAAAGATCCGCGAAGAATATCCCGACAGAATCATGAACACATACTCCGTTGTACCTTCCCCCAAAGTATCAGACACAGTTGTAGAACCCTACAATGCCACCCTCTCAGTCCATCAGTTGGTTGAAAACACAGATGAAACCTACTGTATCGACAACGAAGCCTTGTACGACATTTGCTTCCGCACCTTGAAACTAACCACACCCACATACGGTGACTTGAACCATTTGGTCTCGTTGACCATGTCTGGTGTAACCACATGTCTGCGTTTCCCCGGTCAATTGAATGCCGATCTCCGTAAATTGGCCGTCAACATGGTTCCCTTCCCCCGTCTTCACTTTTTCATGCCTGGTTTTGCTCCTCTTACATCCAGAGGCTCCCAACAATACCGTGCTCTTACTGTTCCTGAGCTTACTCAGCAAATGTTTGATGCCAAGAACATGATGGCTGCTTGTGATCCTCGTCATGGTCGCTACTTGACCGTAGCCGCCATCTTCCGTGGACGCATGTCCATGAAGGAAGTCGACGAACAGATGCTTAACATCCAGAACAAGAACAGCTCATACTTTGTTGAATGGATCCCCAATAACGTAAAGACAGCTGTTTGCGACATCCCACCCAGAGGCTTGAAAATGTCTGCCACCTTCATCGGTAACTCCACCGCCATCCAGGAACTCTTCAAACGTATCTCCGAACAATTCACTGCTATGTTCCGCAGAAAAGCTTTCTTGCATTGGTACACTGGTGAGGGTATGGATGAAATGGAATTCACAGAAGCCGAGAGCAACATGAACGATTTGGTCTCTGAATACCAACAATACCAAGAAGCCACCGCCGATGAAGATGCCGAATTCGAAGAAGAACAAGAGGCTGAAGTCGAAGAAAACTAAACTATGTATTTAAAAATAACATCGTAAAAAACAAAACAGAATTCCCCAAGCAAAATCTAAAACAAATTTCGAAAAAATAACAAAATAAAAAAAGAAATGTTCTAATTTAACATTTAACATAACTTTCTAATGACTTTTATTTCCGTTTTTTCTGTTCTCACGCATATGTACATAAGTTCATATGTCGGTCGATATGTATGTATGTATGGATACAAATTGTGTTTTTGTTGGTTTGTTTTTGGGCGTAATAGTTTTGCAAAACTTTCGAATAGAAACTGTGGAGAAAAGAAAGAACTAAACTAAAAGTTTAAAATGTATCGATAAGTACAATATTGAGCCAAAAATAGTAATTAGTAGGGTGCATTGAACTGTCCGTCTTTGGAATTCAATTCCAAATGTGGAACTAAAGTATTTGCACGAATATAAAGTGTAGACAAAATATGACGTAAGACATTTTCAAATTCGCAGGTCGAATTTAGATGTATGTGAGATAGACTGTATTTTTATTATTAAAGGTAAAAGTGCATCGAACTTTTTCATCAAATCATGTTCATAAATATAGATTAGCGGCAAAAGAATGTATTAAATACAAGTATACATATATTCATAAAGATGCAGTAGGAAATTGCAAATCCATGTGTAATTTTGTATATAGTATGGTATTATAATAATATGTACGTGGTAGTTTAAAATGCTAATGAAAAAAATGTGTGACATCATCATATTTTATAAAGACTCAATGTGTATTAGTCATTTGTTTACTAGTTTTTTTATTGGTTTTAGAATTTTTAATAAAAAAATTGGTTAATAAATAGTAAGATCTATTAGGCAAAGGAATTAAAGCAATTTTGTTTATAAAGAATATTAATTTCATGAGATATCATCTATACCGCTTCAGTGGAGCCTTAGAATCACTTTCTTATTCCATTAAGCTATATACATATGTACGTTTGGCAGTTTGTCCATATAAACTATAAACAGACTAGTCATGTAAACCTTGTTTGCAAAGTACACGTCGCAAATTTTCAAAATACATACTCTATGAAATTTGTTGCATATGAAGGCTTTAAAGTTTTAACTAAAAAAATTAAGACCAAAGAAATATTTCTATGCTTTTACCTATTCTCCAAGCAATGTTCTTCGGGATTATCGTTAGTTTTAAATACATATTAAGAATTTATGTTGAAAAGTTTAGAAAAATCTAAACTCCTCAGAATTTCTCAATTATAAATAATTTCTTAGATTTTTATTAAATTAGATCTCTAAAATACGTCTATTTATTTATTCATTCATTTGGCAGATTAATACAGTTTTGCTGTATTCATGCAAATTTGACTGAAAAAATCGCACATAACCATGTATTTTTTAAATGATTGACCATAAGCGGTGATGTTAATTTAGTTTTTTTTTCTCAAACTGTCCAGTGATTTTGAAAGCAAGTTTGTATTATAATTGTAGTGATTTTTGGTGCTACCAGATTTGTCGATATTTTACTATAAAAAGCTAGACCAGATATAACCATTTCAAATTTTAATTTCTATTTTACCTTTTTGTTTCTTAACCCAAAGAAAACATCAACAAAATACATTACTTTCTTATTTATCAAAAAAGTAAAGTTAGAAAACAATTAAATATTTTGATTAAATACCCTTTAATATGGCAACTCATTAAAAGTTTTATTTACATTTAATATGAGTCACCCAGTTGAACAAAATATCTCTACAATTTATATAAATTTCATTTAAATTTAAATAAATAAAGAAATTAAACTTGAAACAAATATTATGCTTTAAATAAATCCTCATTTAAAAGAATAAAAAAAAAAAACATACATAAATTAATAAACAAGCTATTTTTGAAATTACAAAGGCAAACAACGAATATCAAAGTAAAGCAACTGTCAAATAATTTGAGTACTTGCATATGTGTGTGCGTGTGTATGTACATATTCAAATGACAGCTAATTGTGTTATCTTTTCATTTTTTTCATAAATCTATTAATTTGATGTGAAACAATTTATTTTACTACCTTTGACTAATTCGTAATAAAATTCAGCAATAATTATATGTTCTTAAAGAAGTAGTAATGAATTCATTTCAACGTGATAGTGTGCAGTTCTTAAAGCCAGGTATGTAGTATTTATTATTGTGCTTAATAAAACGAAAATATTCTCAAGAATCCTCCATATGCAAGAATAAATTTTGTTTATAGAACAAAACTCGCGGCCATAGAAAAAAGTGAATAGTACTATTAGCTTATAACTACCACCATTAATTGTTGATTCAGATTTGGATAAATTAAATAGAGAAACTGTTCATACGGAAACATATGGACCACCGTTTTAATAACTGTTATAAGGGCAAATCAAACGTTTAAATTTGCTACTAACAACTATGACGTAAACTGACAAACAATTAGCTCAAGTAGATCAACTGGGTGTACAACACCCGACTATGTATAGAATTAGTCAACATACATATATACATATGTAATTAAATGAACACTACTAACGTTGTAAATTTCTATAATATAGAAAATTTTATGACCATAGACCGATCTACACTTATTTATTTATGTCCCAAGACCACAGAATTTTTAAAATTATGTTTAGTTTAATTTGGAATATAAACTGGCAGGGCAATTAAAAAATATATTAAAATCATTAGTAATACTTTAGTAAAAAATGAATGAACCCATTTCAATTGCAGATAACGAAGAAGAGTTATTAGCCGGCTATCAGAATATAAGGCATACTAACCCTTCGGACGTCTCAGATAAGAAAAAAGCTAAAAATAATATTGTTTTCTGTATCGAAAAATATCAAATAACTATACTAGCGACAGAATTTGGTATAGGGACTCTAGAGTTGCCTCAGGTAAATAAATAAATTACACTATATCAACTAATTAATTAACTTTTGAGATTAAGCAAGCAAATACAGAAAGAATGAAAAGACATGACCGAATTTGTTCGACTCGTTATGAGAAGTTTCACTTGTAGGCAGGAATGATTTAAAGTAATTTAATCTATATGGAAGTGTGTATATATTTGGATTATTTATTTCTGTTTCAGATCACAATACAAACATTTTAATTGCCATTTAGCATCTTCTCTACTACGAGTAAAACACTCTCAGTTCTTTTGTATTAAGATTGTTAAACCGTAACGATTATTAAAAGTGCAAGGCAATCTGTAAAAATACGATTAATCGATCAAAACTATTGACTGACTCACTTGCCACTCGCAATAATTTAAAAGTGCAAAAAATGGTGGGCCCAAGTAGTCAAATCAGTAAACTTTTACTGGGACTTTTAATAGCTCTGATTATTTTCTATATATACATGGATGTCCAGCTGTACCTGCGTATACAAAATTATCCCTTAGAAAGAAATTATCACTTTAACACAACTACAATCACCACCAATAACGCCAATACCGCCACCGATATACCTCAGCGTAGTGATGTGACGTATGAGTCGGAAACCTGGCTGTCCTGTGAACTAAATCCCTTGTGCCATGTAACGGTCAAAGCTATACTTTTGGATCACACCAATCATTACTTATTTGCCCCCTTGGCCACGATATTTGACAATATTATTGGATTTTCCCGTTCCACTTTTATTACGGCCAACATGATATCATTTTTCCACGTGGGAGTAGCTTGTGTAGCTGGAAAACTAGTGTCGTCCGATAGCTTGGGCTACAGACGACTAGGTGTAGTTATGTTCCAGTTTCGCACATTTCTAGATGACTTGGATGGTCATGTGGCGCGCGTAAAGAAAAATATACGAGGTGAACGCTCCGAAGTAGGAACAACAGGATATTATGTTGATGGCATTTGTGATGGCTTAGGCTGTATAGCTCTTATTCTGGGCATGTTTTTCTACCTGAAAAACAATCCACCAAGACGAGGCTATCTTCAGTTGCCCATGGTCGACACTCGGGTGTCGGACGCTCCAACAAAGACTAAACTAAAGCCCACCACTCGAAAGGTAGCCAAGAAAGTGATAAGTTTTACGGGTCAACTGCTTCTCAGCTCCACAGCTTGGAATCGGTATATCGCTGTTTATCAAAATATGCTCGAGAGTAATGATGTAACGCCCCTGCAACTATCTCGCCAACAAATTGTCTTCAAGTCCACGTGGTTCTTTTGCATTGCTTGGCTGTGGCGTATCGTCAATGTTCACTCGCTTTTACATTGTGTCCTGCTCAGCATTTTCTGCGACAAACTGTGGGAATTCCTTAAGGCCATCCAGTATAGCGGCTATGTAATATTGCTGGTATGCATTTGTATAACGGAAATGCATCTATTGGAAGCACATAACTTTATATTTAATGCCGGTGGCGGTGGCAGCACTAATATAACATCATTTTGATAAATAGTTTAGAGATTCTTATTTTATATTTTTATTATCATTATTATTACTACTACTCTATTATAATGTATGTATTATTTCTTTTTTTATTTTTATTTCCTACTAATTAAAAGAAAAGTGTTATAAATGTAAAATCATCTGAGTGTAAATTACTGTATTTTTTTGGTTTTGCTTACGTCTATGAATGTACCTACAATAAGAACAGCAACTACAATCAATTATTCCGGGTGTATTCTTTTGTTGTGGGAATGTTTAAAGATGGGGTTTCAAAAGTTCAAATAAAACAAAGCAAGGAAAATTTCGAAAACAATTCGGTTATGTCTTTTCTCCTTTGGATTTGCTATATTCCAATTGGATCGTGTTTGTACTATACTTGTATGTTGTGTTTATTCGTTTTAGTATTTAGAAGATTTGGGTTGGACACAAAAAGGTAATATAGCGGTAATCGATCACAATAATGATGAAGCTCAAACTGAAATGTTCACTGCTAACCCTTATGAAAATGCAGATTTTCGCAAAATCAATGTAAGTTACAAATAATTATTGTTGTAACTTATTTGTATTAACAAACTTCCACATATTTCTATGCAAACTCAGTACATTTCAAATGAAAAATTCTTAAAAGAACTTTTTTTGGATCCTATACTCACGAATTATGGTGTTATATTAGTGAACAATGTTCACAGACGTCATGTTTTGACGGATACCGTTTTGGCTTTATTGAAAAAGATTGTTAGAAAACGTTCTACATTGAAAATTGTATTGGTATCGAATACAAAAGAAGCTAATTTTTTCGCCGACTATTTTAATACACACAAGCGCAACAAAAGCCAGCAACTTACTTGTGCTGTGCTATCGATCGATGATGTAGATCAAAAGCAGTCTATATTTTATCTACAAACTCCTTGCCCGGACTATATCAGCAAATCGATTGATACTCTGAGGAATATTCATCAGAAACAGCCATTAGATGGTGATGTATTAGTGTATTTAGCTGATGACGATGAAATTAATCAAGCCATAGAATTGTTAAAAAATTACATCAACATGGATCACATTAAAAATGTCAATTATTTTAAGTTATCGCATGTTAATGGAGAAAAACAGTCCGTATTTTTTCCCAAACAAGCGGGTAAACGTAATGTCATATTCACTAAGGACTTGCATCAGGATTCGGTAACTCAAGATCGTATTAGCTATGGTAAAATAAAAATGCTAAAGCCTGTCTTTTCTTTGGTAACAATTCAACTTTTTTACAGTGATCGATTGCGGATTTATGCAGTTGAATTGGTTTCAGGCTGAAAGTAATAAGAGTCGTAAAATAACTGTACCGGTAAGTAAATTTGTGGCCGAATTAAGAGCTAGTTGGAGAAATAAATATAGGACTGCCAAAGTTTTTCGTCTTTATACCAAAGAGGATTTTAACAATCTGCCAGAGAGATCAGTTGCCAAAATGCGTAGAACAGATTTGTGTTCAGTTATTTTGTATTTAAAAACTTTAGCTGTGGATAATATATTACGCTTTGATTTTCCTTCTCCTCCTCCAGCAAAAAATGTACTTTCGGCATTGGAAACTTTGTATGCTTTAGGTAATCCTCTTGGAAAAAATATACAAAAACAAATTAACTTAATTAATTAATGCTTTCAACCATTTGCAGGTGCCTTAGACGATCAAGGTCAATTAACTAATCCCCTAGGCTTCTTCATGGCCGATGCACCCTTCTGTCCACGTTTAAGTAAAGCACTATTTAATTCCATAGAATTCCAGTGCTCCGAAGAGATTCTAACAATAGTTGCAATGTTGCAATTGGAATCGGTATTTATAATTACCACTAATCATATGGCCGATAGTCACAAACAGGTGGCCCGACGAGCATTTGAAGCTGCTGAAGGAGATCTAATAACACTATTAAATGTCTACACGGCATTTGTTGAAAACGATAAAAGTAAGGAATTTTGCCGGAAATACTATTTGAATTATCGCAGTTTAATGCGTGCTCATAAGCTGCGTAATTATTTTGCTAGTACTTTACTAAATAAATATAAAATGTCCCTGATTTCATGCCACGGAGATGTTGAAAGAATACTAAAATGTATCGCTTCTAGCTATTTCATGAACGTGGCTTATCTACATGCTTCTGGAGTCTACCGGGGATTGCGTTGTAAAACTGATCTCTATATAGATCGAGATTCGGCGATTTATAGTCTGTCTCAACCAAAATATTTGATTTATTGTAATCTCTATGAAAATACAAAGACTTTTATGAATAATGTAACAGTTATTAAGGAAGAATGGTTGTCTGAACTAGCTCCACACTATTATGAAACTAAATAATCCGGAAACTACCTACCTTTCTTTTCGCCGTTCAAATAAAAGCTTTCAATGATATTTTTTAGAATTTATGGGTGTTTTATTAAATGCAATGGTAATGTTTTTCTTTGTTTTTTTTCTCTTTTGGGATACGGCTTGCTCTGTAAGTGCCAGTATGTTCTTTTGTTTTTGTTGATTTCTTTTTTAATTATTAATTATTGCAATTCAATCGTGTTATGCAATATAAATTTGTATTGTATATTATTTTAATGTTGTGTTTGTGTTTAATAAAATTTGACAAATGTTTTAAATTGCTGATGTTATTAATTACTTTGAAAGCGTTTGTTTTGTTGTTTTTTCTCTTGATTTACACTCTAGATGATGTTTGTTGATGTTTCTTGCCCCATATGTGCGCACTTTTAAAGTAAAATTTTGTTTTTTTTTTCTGTTTTCTTTCGTTCTATATAATATTTATATATATGTATATACAATAATATGTGATGGGCTAGGGTAATTGTAAGTTGTTTGATTTAGTTAGGCGGATTGCGGGTACTGTCGCTGTTGGGTATATACAAAGGTACTGCGGAAGTGTATGCAGAAGGCCGTTGGTAAGTGTCATCAGCCACACCGTTCATTGAGAATTCGTCCACCTGCAAAAGTGAAATTTTAAAATTAATAATTGATGGTTCTAGAGTCCAATGTTAAAAATTTCAAGGTATTCGAAGTTTTTATGTTCGATTTAGAAAGATACCATTTGTCGGAGCATTTGTGGGTCTTGGCAAGGTCGTTGCTGTTGTTGTTGCTGCTGCTGTTGTTGGGTTTGTTGATCCTGGTCTTTGTTGCGGCCGGAACTGTTGGTTCCTCTTTGTATGGTTCGATCTTCGTAACGTGTACGTCCCTGTGATGCCATAGGCCTGTTCAGTGTACTATTCGAGTTGTTGGGCGAATGAGCAGATGCACTGTGTGAATCGATGAACTTTGTTAGGAAGTCTTGTTCCTTCCAACCGTGCTTCTTGTAAACGTCTCGCAACTCATGATGCTGCCACATTGTAAACAAGACCTGACTAGCGAACTTATTAACACAAGATGTGTACTTCTGGCGATGATTTGTAATATTCATGAGACGCTCCACGCCACCAGCATCAAGTAGCGACCTAGAGAATTCAGCGTTTTTCTTAATAACCTCATTGATGGTGGCCAACACGGCAGTTATGGTGTCATCGGAGGTGTTTTGATCGTGCTGGGGATTGCCGGAGGGCAACTTTTGTACTAGGTCCCGCATTGCATACTTTCCGATTAACTCTTTATTCCTCTGGTCAATTGCTAAATTGCGCAAAGCTGTAGCCACGGCACATACCACTCGATCGACTTCCATGCGCAAAAGTTCCACAAGAATGGGTAGACCTTTCTCTTTGCGAACGGCGGCCCGTATGTCTATGCTGGGTTGCCAGTAACAGGCCGATAAATTTTGTATTGCACCTGCTGCGGCCTCTAGGGTCTCAGGATTGGAGCAGCTCTGTAGCAGAGCCAGATAATATTGCACCACCTCGGGCTGCCACAAATGTTCGTATCCTTTCAGAGGTCCTCGATTCGCAGAATCCGATGTGTTTTTTGTTGAACCAGACTGGGCACCGACGCTTTCATTCTGTTGTTCCAATTGAGCTTGAGCTTTCTTCTTTTTGCTAGTGCCAAAGCAACCAAGATTTTCACCTGCAATGAAATTCAGACGAAACTAATGATTTGGTCAATTTTATTTAAGTACAATATATTTACCCTTAGTAGACGATAAAGCTCTAGTGGGTACTGAAATTGGTTGCTTATCATAGTTGGGATCCTCTACCTCCTGACAACGATACGATAAATTGCGCAGAATGCACACACAATTCTCAACGGTCTTATTACTAATATTGTTCTTCTCGATGGCTTGACGTACCACGTATAGCAGACATTCTACCAAGTGGTCACAATTTCGCAATTGCGTTCTAGCGTATTCGCCAGCTGAGCTGACATTGCGCAAAACGCCAGATGCATTGCGAAATACTGTAGAAAAGCAAGTTTCGCCGGGACATACTGGATCCCAGCCGGAATGTGGATGAATTATATTACTGACAACAGCTGCTAAGCACTCGTCAATGATGAAACGTTTAATGTCCTCACAAGACGACATATTCCATAGAACTCCCGTCACCAATTCTCTCACCTCAGATTCTTGTGTACGACACAATAAATTGACCAGTGCCGCCAAACCACCGGCATTTTTAATTTCACGTTTATTTTCATCATTTTGCCGTCCATAAGACAAGTTACGCAGAGCGCCGCAAGCATTCCTACAATAAAATTCATATTAACACCGACACATGCAGTATGACAGTTAAGTTTAAAGGACTTACTTGTAAATCTCTGGTGCTTCGTAAGACAATAGCCTAATTAGGGGAGGTATACCACCTAGAATACGAGTTCGTTGTTTGATGGGATCATCCATGTAACATAAATGCTGCAAGTAGGCGGCTGCATTGGCTTTAATTGCATTGTTTGGATTATTTAAAAAACTAATGACTTCCGATAGGTTGGGATCACGCCATCGCATAGTTGAACAAATGTCGCTGCATGAACCGTCCACGATTTCGTCCTTTCCACCATTGCGCATATGTTGGGAGACGACGCCAAACGAACTAATCGTAAGCTGTGACATTTTATTTTGAAAATCGTGGGCATCTTCAAAGCCCTGCTGTGCCAGACCCATAGCACTCGCAACCTCAGCCCCATTTCGATTGTCGTCGAACATAGGTGGCCGCGAGACATACGCGTTTTGTTTGGCACTTACCGAAGGCATAACATAATTGGCTTCCGAAACATAGCCATACGCTACTGGTGTGTCTTCTCCATATTGCGATTCCGAGGGAAACGGAATAACTGGATTAATGCCATATTCCGACATCTCCTCATATTGCGATGGCTGCATGTACCGCAGATTCGAGGCCATCATGGCACCCTGATCAGTGGGTACACCAACAGCGGCATTGAGCTCCTGCACCGAACTGGTTAAATTACTTTGTGAACCAAGTATTTTGGCCGAGGCATGATCGGTGCGATAAGAACACTGAGAGCCCATGCGGCCTACAGACATACCGGCTGGGCCTTTTGTAGCATATAGTGGAGCATTCGGGTACACTGTGGTATACTGACCATATTCCTGCATTGGTGCATTTTGACCATCAAAATCTGCCTCGTCAGGAATACATACCGAGGGCTCCATTCTGTCTATACTGCTGCAGTATTCAATATTCAATTTCAAAGTGAATCTCCTCCCTCCGGTTTAATTACTTTAACTTTGTTGTCCCAACACACAAAATTTTATAAATTCACTTGTCGTCTAAAATGAAATAAAAATTGTAATCGAATATTGAACAAAAATTATATTTGTTTATTCACTACAGGAAACTCGAGTTATTTTACACTGCTCATTCCAGGATACGTTAGGGGGCGTGTTTTTTATTTGAGCAAAATTTTTTTAGTTATTCAGTAAAATGTATCGTTGTTTTTAATGAGACTACTTTTTAACAAATTGTAGTTCGATGCAATTTTTGCAAAATGCGTAAATGCATTTACAATGGCATTTGGTGCCATCGTTCGTCGTCTATGTATAATATGAAATTGAAAAATTTGGGCGTAAAACGTCAAATGTTGCAAGATGAAATTGAAGAAGAACAAGCAGCAGCAGCACAAAAAGACGACGAACGAGACAACGAGCAAAATTTACCACCGCAGCACAAAAATGTTTTTTTCTTTTTTCTACAATTCAACGTTGAAAGTACCCAACATACATTCAGTCATACATATGGATATAGGAATGAATATAAATGTTCGTTAGCACATACTTTCATACACATGTACATTAGACAAGCCCTTAGAGAAATACATTTCCGTTGGATGTGTATTATTCTATTATATGAAGCAACATTTAAGGCCAATTGGAAATTGATTGAAAATTTGTTCAAACAATTTTAGATCTTCAAAAAAAGTTTCTTAAAAAGCATTTTTTAAACCAGCATTTATGGTTTTTAAGGGCCACTCTAATGTACATAAGTATTTACACTACATACTTACAAACATGCATATTTACATGTACGCAGTGTATTCGTCGTTGTATAATATTGATTTTTTTCAAAAAGTCCGAGAACATGAACATTTTCTTTTTACAAACATTTTTACATACATATTCATATTTCACTTGATCTGATTGTGTATAGGTTTTATATATTTACAAAAATTTCTCAATGATAAATGAAACCTTTGTGTCCAAAGGATAGATTTCTTTTTTGATTTTCAATTGAATAGTAAAAGAATTTGCAATTAACTTTCACTACGATTAGCTATTGTTTTGACCGCACCTGTACATATGTATATACATTTATATACATACATGAATACATATAGTATGTAGACACGGCGATGTTTTCCAATTAATAATACTTACACATTTAAAACTACTTTGCAATTTATTTTCTGCAATTTTTTCTCAATTTTGTATCAATATATCTTCAAAAACATATCTCGTCCATTTTCAATATTTTTTTTGCTATTTTTTGTTTTCTTTCTTTATAAATTTATGTATTAGTCTCTTCAAAAAGTACACAAAGAAAAAAATTGAGACGCTAGTTACTGTTCACTAAAAATGTCAAATAGATGACAGTTGGCAGAGAGTCTCACACAGCACAAAGAAATTTTACATTTGTAACAATATGGCAATCTTGCAAAGTTTTTTTATTCTATAAAAACCGAATAAATTTAATTAAGACTCGAGTTTACGTGTTCGAATCCTGTTCTTAAACAGAAAAATTTCACCTTTTTTATATTGCAATTGCTAACTATACTTTCTGGCTGTTTCACAATAACGAAACAATACTTTTTTCTTATACATATGTATATAATATATACTATATATATATTAAAAACAAACTTTGTTTTTCTCTTAATATACAATTTTCGGAAAGCCGGTCTTTAGCGCAAAGATGTACTCAATAACGGTTTTTATAATAATGCAGATTTTGCATATCAAAATATTTTGGGTTACCGTTTTATGTGTTAAAATTTAACTTTGAAGTTTTGTTACTCCAAATCTCAAAAATAAATAAAACAAAAAAAAAATTTTAATTTTTTTATTTTCAAAATCAATTATTATTATTTTAGATTATTAATCTAACGATTAATAAATGCATAAGATTTATATTGAATTTTCATCAGAATAGAAATTATTTGGGAATATTTATTTTTATTTTTTTATTATATTCTTACAAAAATGTAACAATTATTTTAACGTGTAATGTATTGTAAAAAACTCCTTAAATACAACTCTGTTTATGATATGGTAACACAATTAAATATTTTTCTGATTGTCCATATTTTAGCAAATATTTTGTGTGAGAGTGGTTGTTTTGTGGCAACACTGGTTACCAACACTTTACGAATACATGAAAATCAAATATGGCGGATGCTTTACTGTGAAGTGGAGAATTTCTCAGTGTGCGTACGGAAAAGTCATAGTTTAAAAGTGAATAAATATAAAAATTTGTTAGAATTTTGTTTAACGCTTAAGATCTAATGTAAGTGAAGTGTTAATTAAAATAAAATTTATGAAAACTTGCAAAAATACCTCGGAAAAACTGAAAAGAAAAAATCGGAACCCCGACTACAACTACAACCAAGGTTTTTCTTAGCACACACACACACAATCTTGAAAACTTGCAATCTACAGAGGCTCTTTCACATATACACCTACATACATACGTACGTATGTATATATAAATATGCATATATAAATATGTATATATATCGAACTATGGATGTATATATATACTTATAACCATATACATATTTTCTTCATCATATCTGGTGTAAAATTTGTATTATTAATAAATCTTGGCTGCTATGCGGCTATGAAAAGTTTTTATTAAAGTTATCAAATCGTTTTGTGCAAAAGTCCCCATCGAAAATAGTTAATGGTGGTTGGTATATTACTATGGATTAGGTCACTACTCGTTCTGGACACTCATGATAATGACAGAAACAAACTAACTTAAATAACAATCAAAAAGTGTTTTAATCAATTCGTCGTGTACTAAAAGATATTAAATAAAATACATATAAACCATCGATTATAAAAAGTACTTTGAAAATTATTAAGTGGTGATATCTCTTTTTTTGTTAAATAGCAAACTACCTCGGTTTTTCGTGTGATGGTGAAGTAACAAAAAAAAAAAAAAAGAAAGAAAATTATTACGTTTCATTTTCTTCTTAACCATTCGTTGACGTTATAAATTGTGTAGTTGTGTGTTTTTTTATTGTGTGTATACAACGACCCGAACCAATGATGATAGTTTTATTTCAGCTTTTTGTTTAATAAAAGAAAATCCAAAAAAATAAAAAGAAAAAATTAAGAAAACATTATTGCAAAAAAAGAAGTTAGAAAACAATTAACGAAAAAAAAAAGAAAAAAGTCAGACAGATATCGTTTATTTTTCTAAATATAAAAATTATTAAATACAAGCAGCACAGTAAGTAAAGATTTGTTAAAAAGTTTTCTATTTTTGTTAAAACAAATAAATGTATTTATTTATTTGGGTCATACATACAACAAACAAACAGCAAGATGTAGTAGAGGTACATGTCTGCTATGTCGGTCGGTACAATAATCACGACGATTTCTTTTTGTCTCTTTTCCCTCTTCTCTCTCTTCTAAAAATATATTGATGTCAACTCAAATGCTCGAAATTTCATGTCTTTTTGAAGAAAATCCCTTTTATCTTGGCCCAGAAAATATACTCCTCTAAATAATAAATCCGGTTTATCAAACAATTGTTGTGTCTGGAACATACATATTTGAAAAGTTCTTAATAAACCATTACCCAGTTAATTTATGTATATATTTTTGTAAAAAACATGTGTTTATTAGGGTGTATCAATAATCGATAACTCTTAAAGATTTTTCCATAGAGTTGAATTTAACTACTTGATTTTTGAAAGTATATTTATATTTCGATTGTGGTTAATTGATAGTTTAAAAATAGATTGTTAATAGGTATGTACTTAGCTTTACGTTTTGTTTAAAATTAGGAGGTTCAATTGAGTAATCTTATTCGTTAATCCTATTTAATTTGGTTGACTAATTGCATTTTAAAATTGCAAAATTCTTAAATAACGAATGAACCGATTATTTTTTCTTATATATAGGCTTGGGCCAGTTATAAAAGTTTTCGAAATTTTGGAAATTATTTAGGTAATTCCATTTTATTGGTTACTAAAAGGGAAATGTTTCAGTAGGTCTAAGTAGGTACCTATATCGTTGAATAATTTTTGAATAGTTTCTGAAACATTAACATTAATGGACTTAAAATATCTAAATTCAAATTCAATAGAATAACTTTCAAAACAATTTCCTGTTTTATATTTTTTCAATTCCAAAATTTAGTTAACATAATTTTTGACATATTTTAAGTCAAGTTTAATTAATACTATTGCAATATCATAAATGCAGTCTGGCAACTTCAATATTTATGCATATGTACAGTGGCGGCTACTTTTTCAGAGACAGTCAATTTTGGATATAAACTTTAATATGAGTTTTAAAGACTTTCCACTGTTGAAACCCATCTACAGATTTTTGTTATGATTTGTTATATTTTTTAATTAAAATACCTCCTTCTCACTTCAGTTGTCTACTTTAATATAGATTACATATGTATGTATATGATTGCCTAATTAGTTTATCGTTTTAGTGGTAGATATTTATCTCTTTTAATGTAGATGTTTATAGAAAATAAGAAATTTGTTCCTAAATAGCAGTCATGTACTGTATTGACAATATAACGGTATATTCAGCATTTCTTAAAATCTGTTTTCATGTTCATTACCTCTTAATGTATATAAAATGTTAAATAAAATTGAAAATTTGATCACATTGTTATTAAACGATTTTTTGTCACAAGGATATAAAACGGAAATTTGCTTAAATAACTCTAATGTCAACAATAGAAATATCAATAACAATAACAACAACAATGAACTTGAAGTAAACGATAATAGTAATACATTTTATACATGCGGCAATGAACGACAAACAACAGCAATAACAACATCAACACTAGGAAGATCATTAGTATCAGCAACAACATTATCATTAGATAAGCTTTATTACGGGCGTTTATGTAGTAGAAAAAGATTTGCATCGTTTTTATATGTTCTAGCTGAAGTACATGATCTATTTCTGTCTCGGAGCCATTGTACTTACCGTCAACTGTACTATAGGAATGTTAATATTGAATGCACAACATTGCAAATACAATGTGCTGTCAATGATGTTTGTCAGGCTTTAGGTACAACATCGTGGAATTTGGGAATATTTGCAGCCGGAAAATGTTTTATATCAGGTAGCTATATAAGAATGCTTAATAGAATTTAACTTTGAACTTTATAAATTTCAATTGAAAAAAAATAAATTCACTACAGTATTTGTGTGTATTTTTGTTAAATGTCAAACCAATAGTAAATAACGCATAAATTTTTGTAATTCACATACAATTCCTGAGGTGAATACATATTTTTATAATCAAAAATAAGGCCTCACTACTTAACCAAATTCCAATTTGTTGTAGGACCTTTACTTGTGCATATGAGTAATGGCGACGTCATCGACTGTGATGTATTTAAGGGACCAACTTTGATGCCACCAAATTTCACGTATATAGACAAGTTTGTAACAACGGCCAAATTTGTATTGGTTGTTGAAAAGGACACCGTCTTTGAAAATCTTATAGTAAACGGTATATTCTCAATGTTAAATGGCAGCATAATATTGGTAACAGCACGAGGTTATCCTGATATCAGCACCAGATGGATTTTACACAAATTATGGACAGAAAATCATTTGGCTATTTATGCATTGGTTGATGGTGATCCATTTGGCATTGAAATTATGCTTATTTATCGCTACGGCTCTATGGCTCAAAGCCTTAATGCAAATAATCTAACATGTCCTCAATTAAAATGGTTGGGCATACATCCTTCTGATATCAGTCACTTAATGACTCAGACAGAACCATTAGCAGGAAATGATTATAATAAAATTGAATCACTTTTACGTCGTCCCTATATAGACCATGAAATTTACACTGAGTTGTTGATTCTTCGTAGCCTGCAGTGTAAAGTTAAAATTGATAATATGTCTGCAAATATGTTGAATTTATTTATAAGCGATTACATTGTCAACAAAATAAAGAGACAAATAGTCTTATAAATCTAAATGTATATTTAATTGTAAATTATTTATTATCTCATTTCAGACATTTGAAATTATTTTTTGGATTTGGTGTATAGTTTTGTTACCTTTTTCGGAGATTTCTTGAGCTACACAGACATATATTGCATCTGCATCTGCTTTACGTTAAAGAATCGAGTTGTGTTAAAATGAATTTAAAGTAAAACATAAATAAAATAAATAACTAAACATAAAGTACTTATTATAGTATAGAGAAGTAGAAAAATATACAGAAACTAAAACAATACTGCATTTCCACTAAATGTTGGGGATAGATATGGAATATATAAGAAACTAACCTCTTGTATTGGCTAAGCATATTTCTCTGCTTGTAAAGTATTTTAAGATAATTGGAAATCATAATAAATATCCCCTCCTAATTCGCAAAACGCAACCGATATCACTACATTCGTTCGCTCTTTATAGTACCAACCAAATCTCGTTAAGAAAGCAAGAACGAAAGGCAAAACAAGACAAGACACAAACAATATTTAGAAAGTAAATCCCGTTTGACATAATCAACTAATCAATTTGTATATGTATATGTAATTAAGACGACGAATGAATTAAAAATAATGTCAACAACAATGCGCACGACATTACAAACAGTTCCTGAGTCGTTGCCCGCCGATAGTGTAGCCAATGATGGCAATGCAACGTCAAAGCTCACATCATCTATAACATCAGGACACAGCGTCAGTACAACTACGAATGGCACAACAACCCCAACGACAAATGCGGCAACGTCGCAACAACAGCAAACAGCGCAACAACAATCGAGTTCGTCGCAATCGACTATACAACAGCAACAACATCATAGTGTCAATAGTTCAGTGCAATCGGTACAGGATACTCATCAACAGCAACATGATTCTACAAACGCAAACACCATTGTACTGCCTTCTACGACTGTCACCACAACAACAACCGTTGCCAATACTGTAACACCACCCAATAACGCGGCCACTTGCACTTCAATTGTATCGACAACTCTAGCAAATGCAAATCAGACACAAAACAACAGTTCGTATCAACAGCAGCAACAACAGCAACACCACACGACAACACCGTCACAATCCTCCCAATCGCAATCCCATCATTGCCATGCCGGAGCAAATTCCGTAACAGACGGTTCACGTTCATCAGCCGTTATAAATTCCTCCAGTTCGGCATCATCTAATCATCATCACCATCATCATCATGGCGGTGGTGGTGGTAATGCCGTAGTTAGTAGCGGCGGAGCATCAATCATAGGTAAAAATGTTGTTAGCGGTCATTCAAATTCAACGGCGGCAGCATTAAAACAAAGAACTTCATCATCAGCTAAGGTAAGTTATAATTATACATAAATTTATTTACTTTAGAGATTAATACAAAGAATTTCCGAGAAAATTATAATAACAAGGCAAATAATTATTTTTGAAAAGTTTGTATTGGACAAATTTGCGAAACATATTTAATTGTAGTGCAGTTGTCATACGATTACAAACGAAGACTTCGAAGATATTATCTCCATATATACATTATTGACCCCTTTAGTGTGATCTTAATAAAATTAACCATTTGTTGTGAGTTTATATAAAATACTGACTACTAGGGTAACATTGGAATGTCCTGCAAAATAAGCTATATAATTTCTTTTCTTCCAACTTCAACAAAATTACCCGAAATTTCAAAAAATAGTAAAGTAGTTGATCTCTATTTTCTTCTCATTTTTTAAACTATAATTTTTAAAAAGTGTATGAGAGAAAGTTTAGATTTAATTAAAAGTTTTGGCAATATACTAAAAAGTTTTGGGTTAAATACGATGTAAAATTGTATAATATTTCATTTATTAAAAAAATTATACTATTTTTTTTAAATATTGTTTACATACACTATAAACAAAACAAGAAAAAGCACAAGTTAAAATTATGAACGTTTGTTTGATGATGTTGTAATAAACACAAAACTATTAACATACATAAATACAATGTATGTAAGTAATGATACAACAACGTACATATGAATGTTGTATGTAGAGTGAGAAATGTGCACTAATAATTTAATTTGTTGCAATGTACTCTTTTTAGTTTCTTTACAGGGTTGGAAAATTGAAACACATTTATGTTATTTCAAAGTTTATTTCAGTTTTGCTTTTTTTATAAAGAAAAATCATTGCGGAAAAAGATTTTAGTAAAAACTAGTTTTTTAAGATTTCACTCCTGAACATTTTTAAAATTTTCTTGCATGCCGAAAAAGTTTGCTTAATATTGTTTCTTTTTATTTATTATTGATCATCTCAGCTCAGGGATCAATTTCAATTGATCATTTATATTTTCACATTAAGCTTAGGGTTTACTCTTAACATAAAGGATTAAAAAAGCTGAGAGAGTGAGTTATGTAGTTGAGTATAAAAGCTAATAAAATTGTATTGAATTTGTTTATAACTTGTTTGAATAGTAATAAACTTGTTATGCTCAAAAGCTTTTTATTGAATAATTAATTTAATTACTATTTGTCACGTTATAAGAATAGCTTAACTATAAACATTTTTCAATGAAACAGAAAATGAGAGCAATTTTTACTTGTGCTCTTTTTAAACAGTATTACCGATTTTTTGGTGTTTATAAGAAAAATGGGTAAAATTTATCTTACAAAAGATTTTAGTATAAATTAAATTTCAATCATGAATTAAAGTCTTAAAGATCTTTAACGTTAGATTTATAAAATAAAATCAGTGCAATATTTTGTTTGCTTTTTAAAAAATGTACAATGCTTTTAGTTAAAACTAGTTATAAATAAACCGATTAAGTATTTTTCTTTGTATTAAAACTTTTAATCGAAAACAGCAAATTTAAATCTAGATGATATGAAGTGAATTTTTAAAAAATCAAAAATAAAGATGTTACCGCTTTCATTTAAATTCAATTTTTGAATGTAATTTCTTTGTGTGTTTGGCAACACTGTCCATTAAATTAATTTCTATAAGTGCATGAAAATAAGAGAGAAAATAAAAACAAAGGTTTTTAGTTTACTAGCACATACATACAACAGCAGTGAACAAATTAATAGCGCAGCCCAAAAAAAGACATAATCTTTTCTAATAATTATAAAGTTTCATAAAATAATTTTTTAATTTTATTTATGGAAAATTTCTTACATTTTCGAATTTCGAACTTTAAAAATTTTGAATATTTTTAACATATTCTCAATATTTTTAATAAAATATTGATAATTTCGAAAATAATTTTAACATTTTTATAAATAAGCTTTTTAAAATAATAAATATACAAATTTAAGTTAAAAAATATTCTAAAGCTTTAAAGCTGTCAAAATAATCTCTAGATTTGGAAGATTTTCGAAAATTCAAACTTATTTTCGGAAAAATTTTAAAGCTTGTTTATAATAATCTTTAAATAGTGAGGATACGTATAAATTATGTAATTCTAGTTATTGTTATTTTTTATATTTTCGAATAGGAAGAGAAGTTTAAGAATATTGATCTTAATTGGTTTTATCTTTAAGAAAAATAAATTCTTCAAGGAATTTTTCCAGCATCAGCATATTATGAAATTAATATATAAATCATCAATATGAAATATTATTCATTAATGATCTGTAAAGTACACAATGTGTAATGTAAATACGAATATTAATGATCAATAGTTTTCAATTTAATTTTGACCGCAACTGCTGTTTATAGTATCGAGTATTAAATAACGGATATGGAATTTAACGTATCTAAGAAGTAACAATCATCAATTGTAGGTAAAAAAAAGTTTTGAGACATATTCCTACTACTACTCAATAAGTTAAACAAGAAAAAAAGCTTTCACAAAGAAGAGACAGATAAATTTATAAAAAAAGCTCAACGACGACGACGACGAGTTCATTGTCATACGTTTGTATATGTGTAACTACATACACACAAAGGTCTACTTGCAATTGTGTGTTTAAATCTACAAATATTCACATACAAACAAACAAATACCATTACCAGTCAGCCAGCAAGCTAGCAAGGCAGTCAGTCTCTACTAAAACACTTGACTGGTTTCGTATTGAGACATGTTTTTTAGCAGCTAAAATCAATTTAAATTTTTAGTATAAAGTTAGCATTAAACAACGGCACCACCGACCACAATAATACAATAAAAAAAAAAACAACGACGACGACAAAAGACAATATCAAAATAAAATTAATAATAATAAATAATAATAACAATACTCATAGTACAACAGCAAATAAATAACAATAAATAGAACAAATTTTTAATAAATCAAAATACTCTTACGAAGAAACAAACACTCATCATCACTATAATCAACATCATCATTCGTACTCGTAATTATTATTATATTAATATTCAAGAAGTCTCATTACTTAGATAATACTTTTTATATTAACGCGATCGTATCAAAAATAGCAACAACAACGAGTAAATACATTTTAGTAGTTAGTTATCTTTTTTTATATATATTTTCTATCTATATATCTTTCTATCTATATCTACGTTAAATACATTTGTATGAGCTTTGTATGAGATACTACATACCTACTATTAAAAATAATAAAAATAAATAAAAAAAAAAAAAATTAAAAAAAAAACGTACATATAGAGTAGTAGTTAATTTAAAATATAAATTGCCAATTTACTATACTCAGACAGTCAGACTTGTGTTGTGTTGTTGTGGTGTTCGAAACGCAAAGATATGTTTTTCGAATACGTTATTCGTTATTTGTGATTGTGATATTTTTTTTTTTTTTTGTGTTTAAGTTTAAAAGTAGTAGTTGTCTTTTTTTTACTTTCGAAATATAAAATATTCTCTCACTTACTTTTTTTAAGAAGAAAGAAAGAACGAAAAAAAACTCGTATTTACAAAAGATTGATGAGTGTAATCATTGATTGTTATTGTATTATTAAGCTCCTCTTCAAGTATGATGATGGGATGGTTGGAAATTGATAATAATACTAAAATATTTTATATAGTTAGATAAC